CTATCTATCTATCTATCTATCTATCTATCTATCTATCTATCTATCTATCTATCTATCTATCATCTATCCAGACTTTCTACTTCTCTAACCAGCCCTGTTGCCGTCCTCAGAAACTCTTGCCACAAACACGCACGTAAGCATAATTCATTGATAAAAAACCCCCTCCGGGCTCAGCAAAAACTTTTATCGAACTTCCGTAACTCTTCGTTCTTTTCAGTTCGGGATAGGATCAACTGTGACGTCGCTTGTTATCATTCAAACTTCATAGAGAGGATCCCTGTGAGATAATAACACCCCCCCAGCTGCCTCGGTGTACAGAATTATTTTGGAAATTCCTTGGGAGGAAAATACGTCAGCGCTTGGCCGGCCTCTGGTGTGTTTTGTTTCTGGTTTTGGAGGCAAATATTTGCAAATATTCTCTTTCGGGAAAAAGAGCTTCGGATTGTGTCAGCCGCGGATTTAAAAGTCCCAGGTTTGACTGAGCATTGGTAGGTTCGTTCGTTTTTTTTAAAAGTCCTTTTTGCGCTTGGTGTTAGAAGCTGGAGAGGTTGCAGCCCGGAGAGGATTGAGAACTAGCATGTTTTATGTTGAAAGCGTGGGTTATATGGAGGACTTCTTCTTGTTGCAAAATTGCTACTCCGAATGCTTCTGTTTTCATATTGCAGTTCAGTTTCGAAGCCAGCGGAGTCTGCCCGTAAATATTTATCATTAAGCGCAGCAAAAATAGATAAGATTTTTTTCTTTTCCCTTTTTGGCGTTGTCTGTGCAGTCGAGGTATTTTTCTCTCTCAAAAGTCCAAATCTTGCATTTCTTTTTTTTCCTGCCAGGAAATCAAATGAAGTGAAAACCCTTCTCTGGGAAGAAATTGTGGTGGGTTTTTTCCCCTTGTTTATAGAGACATCCTAGGGAAATCTGGTGTCGGATCCCTTGTGTTCTTCTGCCTCCATCTTTTTAGCTGCTTAAAAAAAAAGTGGGGGGGAGCAGCTTCTAAGAGTGTTTCAGGTGGTTCCCCTCATTTGTTTCTTTGCTTTTACCATTTTTTGCTATTTAATTAAGTTGGGGCCTTTCGCATGGGAATCTTTCGGGGGTGTTTTCTATCCAGCAAAGCCGTCTCGTCTCCAACACGCCCCGTTCGAATTGTGTTTTCCTGCTGCGAAGAATCTTTTCATCTATCCGCGCTTCATAATTCAGTGCAGAGTTTGCAAAGTTTGGGGTTTTTTCCCCCCCATATGGCATCAATTTTCTTCCTAGGATTCAAGTGGCGTGGAGCAAGCCGTTAGTTCTAGCTAAACCTCAGCGTCTTTGCGTATTTCCATAGTCTAGAGAACTGGTACGATTCTTTCTCTACTCAAATGGAAGGCAAAAAAATTTAGATCTCGCTCCAGATACGGCTTAATAGTAATTATCTGTTACGTGTCTCTCATCCTTCCTCCTCTTCGTGCAATCTACTGAATCGAGCCGCCGGCTGATATCAGACTGGGGTTTTTTCCTCCTATCGAGTCTGTAATATCTTTACGGGATATAACAACTGAAACTATTTAATTAACTTGCATTTTTTTAGTTTTTTGGAGAAAGGATCAGTCTCCGACTTTGTTTCTGTATGTTGGAGATGTAATACAGGTCGTCCTCAAGCTTACGGCCACAGTTGAGGGCAGCATTTCTGTTGTTGAGCGAGTTAAGTGAAAACCAGAGTCGTTTCGTTGTGCGTTGAACGGTAAATAAATTCAATAAATAAACGGCCAGTGCCCCCCCCCCCCGAAACGGTCCTTGCCGTCGCCCACCGTCCTGTTTCTCCGTCTTTCCAGAAATGGCATCGGACGTCTCTCCCTTGGGGGCTGGTTCAGGCACGTCGGGACCAGCCGCAGGAAGCCTCAGCCAGAGGAGCAGCAAGCGGCGGACGGGGTACGTTAGGAAGGGTCTGTGTGGTTTGGCCCCATAACGGGGGCAAAGGAAGAGGCGGGGCCTTCTCCACTCAAAGGTGGGGCCTGACCTGGAAGGACTTCGACCCGCCATCCCTAATTTTGTTGCTGTTGCGTTTCAGGCTGGAGTTTGACGAAGATGGCGAAGGGAACAGCAAATTCCTCAGGTGAGCTCCGTTCCCACTTCCTGGCAAGGAAGCTATAGAGGTAGGACTGAAGGACAGAACCGGAAGAGGTCATCTAGTCCAGCCCCCTGCTCAAACAGGAGCCCCTACGCCAGAGGTGGGGAGCCAATGTGTCTTTCACGACTTGTGGACTTCAACTCCCAGAATTCCCGAGCCAGCATAAGAGGGCCATGGGTCGCCCCCCCCCTTATACCCCTACACCATTTCAGGCAAATGGTCTTCCAGTCCCCCTCCAGTGTTGGAGCACCCACAGCTTCCGGAGGCAAGCTGTTCCACTGGCCAATTGTCAGGAAATTCCCCCTGACAGGAATCGGAAGGGACCTTGGAGGTCCTCTAGTCTAGTTGGCCCCCTTGCTCAAGCAGGAAACCCTAGACCATTCCAGGGAAATGGCTGTCCCCTTCTTAAAATGCCCCAGTGACAGTTTTGTTAAAGCAAGTGCAGGAGAGATGGGATAAGGGTCTGCTCGATTCAGAGAGAAATGAAGGCGTCAAAGACACCTTCATTTCTTTTCTTTTTTTAATCCGTCAAAATTTACCCCGCTGACTCTTTTCATGGCATCCTTCTCCTTGTTCTCCTAGGTGCGAGGACGACCAGCTCTCCACGGACAAAGAGCGGTTCGCTAGGTAAGAATTTTGACCCAGCGAGGAGAAGAGCCTCCGGGGGGGGGATTCCTTGAGCCTCTTCCGCAAAGAAGCGGGACGGGATTTCCCGCGTTCGGATGCAAGCAGGACTCCTTCCCCCCCCCCCCCCCCCGCGATTCCTTGGAAAATACCGGCTTGCTGGAGCCCAACCTGGCCTTGAAATGAAGCCGAGTTCATTAAAACAAGGCTGGAGAGCCTTTCGTGTTTCGCTTTAGCCTTTTAATATTATGCAGGGACGCGCCTGGGCTTTTATAATTGCGAAGTGGTTGGCTGGGGAAAAGAGACCGGCTGTGTTTTTATAGTTTACGATTTGCTAGCACCTAAGTTCATTGCAAACTTCTTCCTTTCTTCCCCCCCCCTCTCTTTATTTGTCAGTTTCAGGGAATCGCTTTTGGATTTGGCTTTTATTTTTTATTTCCCCCCCACCCTGATTTCTGCATAGTTACAGCCGGGCTTGCAAATCAGCCACCGAGCATTTTGAGCCTTGGTGATGTTTTTTTAGTTGCCCTCTGTTATTTATGTTTCGCTCCCCCATTAAGATGCCCGTCAAAACATTTGGCAGATGACGCAACAAAATCTCGGATGCAACAGCCCGGCCCTTGACGTGAAAATGGAATAGTGGCCATAGTGGCAGCTTTTAAGAGGGGGAGGCCTTCGCCTCCTGGCTGGCTGGGGAATTCTGGGAGTTGAAATCCGTTTCCTATTAAAGCTGCCGAGATTGAGAAAATGCCGCATTGGAGGCATAAAATCCACTCTGCTGGGCCTGGGACTCAAATGTCTTATTCCACAATCTTCATTTCTGGAAGAATTCTTGTTTTTCTCTGGTATTTTTCTGTACGGAAGGCGGTTTCTCAGCCTTTTGGGGCAGGGGGGCAGGGTTTGTCCCCCTGGTTCAGAGCCCACCTCCCGAAATAAGTTTCTCTGCGGCTGAAAAGCAGCTTCCTTTGCACTTTCCTGGCTCCATCCATCCATCCTCCCCTCCCTCTTTCTCTCCTTTCTCCCCCACCCCTCTCTTTTCTGCGCTGTGAGTCTCTGCTAGGGCTGTTGGGGCACGCCGACCCCCTCCTCTTCCATTGGGCTTCTTCCGGTGAGAACCAGGCCCATAAGCTGGGTCCCCCTCCCCCTCTCTTTCTTGGCCTGGGAGGCCACCCCACCCGCCCGCGCCCCCTCTGAAGTTTTAGCTTAGCTCACCCGTTTTATTTCTAGGTCCGATGACGAGCAGAGCTCGGCGGATAAGGAAAGATTGGCCAGGTAGGAAGCTAGAAGTTTGCTTTGGATTCTCGGCGCATGACAAACCACAGTTTGTTCACTTCCCCTCCCCTCCCCTTTCTTCTGCTTCCCACCCGTCATAGCCTCCGCCACCCACCCACCCATCGCCTTCCCCGTTTTCTTCCTTAAATCGAGGGCTGGAAAGTGGACACAGAGTTTGGGGGATCAGCTGCTCGGTTGGACACGAGAAGCCGTGAGAAGCCGACCAGGAAGGGTCTGCAGCTGTGGCAGAAACTGGTTGGGTTTCGCCGGCTCCTGAAAGCCGCCGTGTCCCGCTTAGAGGGGCTGAGCGGGCCGGAGTTGGAAGTGGGGGGGGGCTGCCTGCGTTAGTGACGCCACCGTAATTCCCGCAGAATTGCTTTTCAAAGGCTGGCCGTCCTCAACAGTTGAGCCCAACATTTCCCGGCAAAATAGTTGTTGAGTGAGTTTTGTTCCACTTTGCGACCGTCCTCGTTCACTCCGGCTTCCCCAGCGACTGGGCTCGTCGGGAGGTTGCAAAAGGGGAATCTGTGACCGTCGTAAGTGCGAGTCAGTTGCCAAGGTTGGAGGGACTTGCCGTAAAGCACCCCAGCACCCCCCCCTGTTTGCCTCTTTTTCCTCCTCTTCATTGTCCCCCCCCCCCCCCTCAGCCCAGACCTTCCACCTGCCCCACATCACTGAACTCCTGGCCCAGGAAAGGAGAGATTTCCTCCCTCCAGAACAACCTAAAACTTTGATTTATTTTTTTCTCTGTTTTAAAAAAAACCACACGTACAGCCTTCTCTTTCTTCACTACCCACATCCATCCTCCATTCCATGCTTCCGGCTCCTGGTTTTCTTATTGACTATTTTCTCTTCCCCCCCCCTTTTGTTGGAAAGCTTGTAAAACCCTTTTGGGGGTGTTGATGATTTTGCAGCAAGGAAAGCTTCTGCAAAACTTTGCAGCTGCAAACGGTGTTTTTTGATCCTGGAGGGCTGTCTCTGCGCCATGATACTAAACCTGGTTTTTTTTTGGGGGGGGGTTTCCTTTCCCCCCCTCCCCAGTCGTGATGGTCCTTTCAGCCCCGAGGCAGGTGGGTGTATTCTCTTCCTGCTCCCATCGTCCGGCTTCTGTTTCCTAGAATTTGCCAGAAAGGAAGGAGGCCTGAATAGGCTACGGATCTGCAGGTGGAGATGGAAAGAAAACCAGGCACGCGGGGAATGTATTGAGGGATAGACTGCCTCTGTCCATGGAGGCTCCGTTCCCAGACCCTTGTTGTCCTCCAAGCCCTTTCCCTGAGCTTCCCAAAAGGCGGTGGCTCTCCGTGTTTTGCTTCGAGCGGAAGGTTGCAACGCTCCTCGAAATCTTGCCTGCTTTTCTCTGTCTGCATGCCCGGCACGCATCCTCTTTTCCAAGCCTTAACACCTCGTGGCCCTCTTTCCGTTCTCCTTTCTCCGCTTCCCCACCCGTCAACTCTCTCTTTCTCTCTCTCTCTATTTTCTTTTTCTTTTTGAGCCTGGCAGTTTCTTGCAACCTGGCCTCCCTTTCTCTCCGCTTCTCTCTCCATCCCCAGGGAGAACCACAGCGAGATCGAACGCCGACGGCGGAACAAGATGACCGCTTACATCACCGAGCTCTCTGACATGGTGCCCACCTGTAGCGCCCTGGCTCGCAAGCCGGACAAGTTGACCATCCTGCGCATGGCCGTCTCTCACATGAAGTCGCTGCGGGGCACTGGGAACACCTCCACGGATGGCACCTACAAGCCATCTTTCCTCACTGACCAGGTGAGGGATGGGGCTGGGCGGGTGTGCGTTTGTGACCTCTGATGTCCGGAGCAAAGAGGGTGGAGGGGGAGAAGAAACTAGCAATAGCCCTTATAAACCGCTTCCCACTGCTTTCCAGCCCTTTTTAAGCAGTTTACTGAGTCGGCCTATTGCCCCCCCAAATTGTTCCTCGTTTTACTGATCTCGGAAGGACGGCAGGTTGAGTCAACCTTGAGCCGGTCAGGATTGAACTGCTGGCAGTGGGCAGAATTAGCCTGCAATGCTGCCTTCTAAGGGATGTGGTGGCTGAGACGCCGAGCTCGTCGATCAGAAAGGTCGGCAGTTTGGCAGTTCGAATACCGAGCGCCACATAACGGAGCGAGCCTCCATTCCTTGTCCCAGCTTCTGCCAACCGAGCAGTTCGAAAGGACGTAAAAAATGCAAGTAGAGAAATAGGAGCCACCTTTGGTGGGAAGGGAACAGCGTTCCGTGCGCCTTCAGTGTTTAGCCATGCCGACCACATGACCACAGAGATGTCTTTAGACAGCACTGGCTCTTTGGCTTTGAAACGGAGATGAGCACCGCCCCCTAGAGTCAGGAACGACTAGCACATATGTGCAAGGAAAAGTTTTACCTTTATCTTTACTGAATTTGAACCATAACTGAATTTGAATTTCAATTAATCCACGGAAACAGCTTCCCGCCAGAAGTTGTGAGCGCTCCAAAACTGAACAGCCATTTGTCCAGAATTGTATAGGGTCTCCAGGCTTCAGCAGAGCGTTGGACTAGTAGACCTCCAAGGTCCCTTCCAACTCTGTTATTTTGTTCTTCTGCTGCCCCTTTGCAGAGCTGCGTAGTTCTGCTTTGAACCCGCGGCTCGTGTCCATGGTGCGGCCAGGGTGCAGGAGAGTTGGCAGCCTTGCGTGAGCGCCCGCATCAGAGGAGGCTCCTTGGCCCCTTTCGACGCCGCAGCCTCCGGCCCGCGCTCCGTTTCACTTTCCCTCTCTCTCCGCAGGAGCTGAAACACTTGATCCTGGAGGCGGCCGACGGCTTCCTCTTCATCGTCTCCTGTGAGACGGGCCGAGTGGTTTACGTCTCTGACTCCGTGACGCCCGTCCTGAACCAGCCGCAGTCGGAGTGGTTCGGCAGCACCCTCTATGACCAGGTGCACCCCGACGACGTGGAGAAGCTGCGGGAACAGCTCTCCACCTCGGAGAACGCGCTGAGCGGTAGGTTTCCCCCCAGCTGAGGTCGCTTGTGAGACGCGGGAGAGCCGGCAGCCGCTTCATCTCGGCGGCTGGAAGCATGCCCAGTCCTCATTTTGTGGCTTGGCTTCCGTAGGCCGCATCCTGGACCTGAAGACGGGGACGGTCAAGAAGGAGGGTCAGCAGTCCATGAGGATGTGCATGGGTTCCCGTAGGTCCTTCATCTGTCGGATGAGGTGTGTTGTGCTGGAGGGGGCAGCGTGCTTCGTTTTAAGTCGGGGGTGTCCATTTTAAGATTTGCTATAGGGATGCGGTGGCTCAGTGGCTAAGACGCTGAGCTTGTCGATCAGAAAATGTTGGCAGTTTGGCAGTTCGAATACCGAGCGCCGCGTAACGGAGGGAGCTCCCGTTGCTTGTCCCAGCTTCTGCCAACCTAACAATTTGAAAGCATGTAAGAAATGCAAATAGAAAAATAGGAGCCACCTTTGGTGGGAAGGGAACAGCCTTCCGTGCGCCTTTGGCATTGAGTCATGCCGGCCACATGATCACGGAGACGTCTTCGGACAGCGCCAGCTCTTCGGCTTTGAAACGGAGATGAGCAGCGCCCCCTAGAGTCAGGAACGACTAGCCACATATGTGCGAGGGGAACCTTTCCCTTTACCTTTAAGCTTTGCTGGCTGGGGAATTCTGGGAGTTGAAATCCACCCGTCTTAAAATGGCACCGGTTGGACCCCCCCTGACTTAAGCCTGGTTCCTTTTAACCACCGTTCAACAGGGAAAAGGACTGAAGGACGGGTAGTTCGGTCAGCAGAGGGAAGGGCTCATGTAACACTGGCCAGGACACCTTTCTGAGGGACGGGGGGGGCCCTGCCAGTTTAGCTGACCCGTGCCGTGGAGGCCTCTGCAGGCAACGTCTCTCTCTCTCTCGCCGAAATCCGGATATATATATATTTTTAATCCCTTGTTCTGCAGATGTGGGAACGCAACCGTCGATCCCGTCTCCATGAACCGGCTCAGCTACATGCGGAATCGGTGCAGGTAAATGATGGGGGGGGGGGAAGGAAGAGGCCGGGTTTTTTTTGGGGGGGGGGGGGGGGAGGGGGGGGGGCCCTGCCAGTTTAGCTGACCCGTGCCGTGGAGGCCTCTGCAGGCAACGTCTCTCTCTCTCTCGCCGAAATCCGGATATATATATATTTTTAATCCCTTGTTCTGCAGATGTGGGAACGCAACCGTCGATCCCGTCTCCATGAACCGGCTCAGCTACATGCGGAATCGGTGCAGGTAAATGATGGGGGGGGGGGAAAGGAAAAGGCCGGGGTGGAGGGGAAGAGCAGAGGGTCCCCCTTTTTTTCTTTGAGAGCAGGGATTGCAAAAGAAGAGGGTC